TGTGTCTCTGTGTCTTTCGAAATCTCTAACTCTCTTAATTATCCGCAAACAAAAGGAGCACTGAGCAGAGAAGAAGGAGGACACTTTCGACCGGAAGCCAAAAGCGGGAACCATATGAGGAGACAAGCAAACAGGGAAACGAGATAAACAAGATAACAGAAGAAAAAGAATAAATTACGAATTGTATAGTTGGAAGAAGAGGAGAAGGATTAGAAGAAAAGAGAAGGGAACAGTACGGATAAAGTGAGGATAATGGTGTAAACGATATATAACAGAATGACAATAATGGCATACAGAGAAAAGGAAAACAACCGATAATCACAAGATTCGGAATACTTTTATGCAGGAAATCTTTGAGATGAAATGGACTTGAAGAGCCCAAATATATGGGAGCCCTGGGAGTACTGTAGTAAAAAATCAGTTTGATAAAACTTGGTTGCCTGCAAGAAGGTTTGATTTTGATGGATGTTCAACGGTAACCTATAAAACCAAGAATTTCTCGAACTCAATTATTTTTTGAAGATTACTGATTACGTGTTTTGTTGCTTGTACAGTTCGAGATACAATTCATATTAAGGAATTCCTTTTTGCTTCTAACCTATTCAACGAGAGCTACCGTAAACCCGCAGATATAACGACTTTCAACATTGAGACAATTTATCTCGTTTCCTATGAAATCAAAAAGTGATTAACTAACAAAATATTTTTGGGTTTATGATGAAAATATTGCCAGTAGACAACTTTTTGATTACTTTTGAAGGAAATGAGATAAATGGAGTCAAAGTTGGTGATTTGACGGAATCCAAGAAGAGTGCTTACGGTATCTCAAATTATTCAAGATTGGATTAAAACTACCTGAATCAGAATTCAAAACTGACTGCGCCACAAACCTATACGCTTTGCGAGATATACCATTACGATAGTTGAGCATTTTGTAACTTTGGTCAAAACCTAAAGGTTTGTTATGCATTTTTCCTGACTTTTGACTTAATCATGTTGAAATTGCAATCTGAAATAATGTTTTTAAACAACTTTTGAAGTATCTTTTTTGTGATTCGAATTACTGATTAAAACCTGTAATAGAATGGCCTTTACACAGTCAAGTTTGAGCTCAATTATCACAGCTTTTATGCTATATATCTAAAATGGGCAATATAAGAAAAAACTTCTGATATTATGATAAAAATTTTATCAGTTGACAACTTCTTCACATCTTTGACTGAGATTGAATGAAATACGCTCAAAGTTAATAGTTAGTAAACCCGCCTATGGTTTTACGACATTTCGAGGTATTTTGAGATTGGTAGATGTAGTTAACCCAGGAATCTCTTGAAACACACAATTGGGGATTTTGTATATCTTTTCATGAACTACAATGATTACAATAGTACCATTTGATTCTAGAAAGCATCGAACCGGAAACTATCTTTTACACATTCAATTGGTGTCCAAATGGTTTTTGGAAGTGCTCGTAACATTTTTTAAACTTTGGACTTCTACCTGCTGGCTCACGGTAACCTGAAAATTAGTTTTGCAGGGCTCTTTGAAGATTTGTTCAAACACACTCATCTTGTGTGTAGTTCTCAATTCGACCCCATATAGTATTCATTGTTGAATCTTTGATTCACTTCATCTTCCCCACATTCATCCCTCTCACGTAAATCTCCAACAGAATCTGCAGTTATCTGCAGAATGTTTACCTCCCATTTTGTGGCTTTTGCCTCCTGTTTGTTCCGTCCTAAACCATGCGTGTTTCTTTTCATCCAACCCGTAAGTGTACCTCTCTGTTATTCCCTTATTCTTTCTCTCTCTTTCTCCTTTACCCCTCCTCTTCATTCCTTATCTCCTTTATTCATTTTCTCGGGTTCTGCGCCAGAAGCGAAGCACACGTATCAAGATCTCAGCCAAAAGGATCGGAGAACTTGTGGAAGGCGCGAGAGGCGCCAGAAGGACACTTCTCCTCTATTTTGACCCAAATTGATCATTTACGTATCCAAATATGTTGCATTTTTCGGAACTAGCAACAGTACCCCTGTCCGGTCCGCAGGGTTACTGTAGGAGAAGCATGAACAGCTTGGTTAGCAACCACACCATGATACAGATCATAAAATGGGTTCAAAATTATTGAAAATGAATAATTTCAGATTTGAGGTATATAATCTGTCATCTAGTAATTTATCAAGGGTGCTGAATGGGGAGTGGTCTCGGGTAGCTATAGCTTCAATTCCATTTGTTTTCTACAAAAAACGACAAAAAAAGTGGAGACAACAAGATATAAATTCGCATTCGCAAGAACAGGTAGTTGGCACTCCGTTATCTTCTTCTCATTTGACAAAAATGAACAAGCTAAGAAACGAAAAAGACGAAGGGATGTTGATGGGGCAAAAAAGAAGGAACATCATCATTCGAAAGAACGATGATGATGATGAGGATTGGTGGATGATGACGGCGACGGCATGTGATTTTGTAGAAAACGAAGAGAATGAATACGATATGAATAAGAGATAAATCAGGAGAATAAAAATGATAAAATGGTTAGATGAAATTGGGTGAGACTAGTGAAAATGGAAGTCATTTCGAAAGAGATTTATTGGAACTTTAACTATTTGTTGCGACCTGATGACGGGAGTGAATAAAAAAAATAACTTCAAAGCTCCATTTAATCCGGTACCAATTCCCTCGAGTTATGTTTTTTAAAAGATTTTCTGATTGCTGCGAACCAGGAGAATTGGAGTTATATCGCTGATTTCAGCTCTTTTCTGGCCAATCGAGATCAGTGGGTATGATTCGGCTTTTGATCCCTTTCCAACTGGAAAAACTGAAATATGAATAATATTTTGATTTCAGGTCTTTAGGGATAGTAATCACCCAATTTACCTTAAACGGTCTAATAGAATGCTCTACTCCCCAAACCATCAACTTTGAGCTCATAGATCTCGTTTCCTGTAAGAGATATCAAAAAGTGGTCAACTGACAAAATGTTTATTCTGATATCAAAAGTATTTTGCCAACTGACCGCTTTTTGATACCTTTTACAGGAACCGAGATAAACAGACTCAAAATTGAACAGTAAGGGGTTCAATCTATATTCTAACAATGTGATTGAATTTCAGAATAGTAAAAATTATTGGAAAACTCACAACCACAATGAAAAGTATACTCTGAAGTTTGTGTATTTGTCGTTCTAATCTCAAATGAAACTTTTTCAGCCAGTTAATCAGGTTACGGTATCTACAATTTGTTCATTGTACCCAAAAGTGTAGACAACAGTTCCTCACGAAATCTACAAATCTACCACAACCACCTGACTATAGAAATTCCACATTTTATATCCTAAAGACGAAGTACATATAAGACCCTTAAAAAGTACAACACAAGAAGTGTATCGCCTAGTCGTTCTTCTCCTTTTTTTTGTTTCTTCTTCTTCACAGACCACCTCCCTCTCCTCCCGTTAAAGAGTTTTCGTGAACACTGAAACTGAACTCTTTTACGGGCTTATCCGACACTCCTCACCAGTTTTCTTTCGCCAGTTCTTTTCATTTGTCCCTCCGATTCCTCACTTTTCCATATTTTTTTTCGTTTTGTAGTGAGAGGTGTTATATTGAAGGTAGATATTTTTAATTGAACCTATGTTGAATTTTTTAACAATTGTTAACTGTGACGTTAGAAATATATCGTTTCATTTTCGCAGCTCAATTATTTCGATTTCCATGCAAGTTATCCCACTAAAAAATCATTTTTGATATTATGATGAACAATTTACCAGTTAACAACTATTTCATATCTTCATCAGGAACCGAGAAAATTGGTTCCTACTTAAAAGTAAAGAGGTCCTTCTATTAAAGGTTTACGTTATTTCCCAAACCATCGACTTTAGATTATCTGTAACTGATGCACTTGGGTTCAAGCCAATGGGTCAGAAATCGCGCCCCAGTAAACTTGAGACTTTAGAAAAAATTCGCTGCTGAATTATGTGGCTGAGGATCAAACTTTTAAACGTTGCACAAAAAAATCATGCGTTGCAACTCGTTGATTAAACTAATTGGTCAAATCCACGTCAACTTGGAAATTATTAAATTTCTTCTGGCCTATAATTTATTTGGGGCGCGTTTTTTGACCCGTTGGCTTGTACTCAGGTGCTGATGTTGATACTTTTAAAGTCCCAGTTTCCCTTTTGTAGTGTCGTCTCGGAATATTTTTTCAACTTTCAACCCTTCATTCATTTTCTTACCTCTTCCTATTTACCTCCCGCGCTTTCATTAACCCTCACACACTTTTTTCCACTGATTCTTATCTTTTCCATCTGTTTCATCCCCTCGTTCACTGGTACTTTTCCGATTGACATACTCTCTTTAGATCAACACCATCAACAGAATCAGCAACAGCCAGCACATCAGATCCCAAGAAGAGAAAGAGAAAGGAAAGGACATTTCCAATATGTAGTTGACCTACTAACGTTTCATTTTCTCTTTTTTATCTTTTTATCACCCACTTCTAAACAGCCATGTTTATCAAATCAAGTAGTACGAATTAAAAGTAAGTGAAAGGATTGACCGTTTACATGTCACCTTGTGAGGACCCACTTTCCTTCTCTGAAACCTTCGTGACGTCACAAATGGATCAGTGAACATCGATGATTGGATACTGTAGAATTCTTCTTAGCCTTTTTGTATCTAAGCTGAACTTCCCCACTCTCTTCTGTTCGAATGTTTTCAATTAGTTATTTAATGAATCTTTGAATTATTTTCTGAAAACAACAAAAATAAAAAAGTTCCTTGTTGCAATCAAAAAGCTTGATCCCGATCAATAGATGCATCTTCCTTCTCCTTCTTCTTCCAAAAAGGTACTCCTCACCCAATCCCATCTCTTAGTGGGCGTGTCGCCGGTCTCGTATAGGGCACCCGATTCGTCCTGCTTTCGTCTTTCATTTTCCTGGCTACTTGATCCTTTCTCTCTCTGCCTCTTTTCACCCTTTTTTGAGGGTGTCTTCTAAAATAATCATGGATGGACACAGTAATACTTCGGTAATACTACACACTTATCAGCAACAACAATCTCAATTGATCCCCTCGATTATTCCACAAACTCTTCCTGATGGTTACGGTCTTACGACTACCATTTCTCAACCTGATTTTTCCGGAACTAACGCTTTTATCAATACGAATCCCTGGAATACTACGACGTTCCCAACTTATAGAGACAATCAATACACTAATGAAGTAGGCTTAAACTTCGACTTGGAAATTATTTTGATATTCTGATTTTCCAGGTTTCGGTACTAAATTACCCAACCGTTTATGATGATTTCTCTAAAGAATCCACAGCCGGAACACTGTCTGATCCGTCACTTCATGGATCAAATAGTTCTAGTTCTACTTCTGATGTTGGATCATCTGTTGATTGCAGTGTAAGTCTAGATGGGGTTACGGTACCTTTTTTGTCTGTCTGGGTGACTTTAGCTGGAAGAAGAAGATTAAAATCAAAACAATTTTTGTACGAATCTTGTTTCAGATTTCGCCCGAACCAATTCTAATGCCTTGTGTGAAAAGAGGTCGGCCTACCGAAAATCCGTGTTGGGCATATTTCCACAGAATCGACGATCAACTGGTTAAATGTAGACTTTGTACAAAAGTGAGTATTCTCTAAATCTCTAAATCTATATTTTAACCATTCAATGGTTCTGTAGGTTGTTCGATCCGCATGTGCAACAAATATGACGAAGCACTTGGAAAGACATCATACTGACGACTATCAAAAAGTTACTGGACAATTGAAGCTTTTCCGAATGAATGATGCTGGGTAAGAAGAGAGACTTAGGAACTATTTCTTTTGGGAATTCATCAATCAGACATTGTATAGTTTTAGATATTTTTGTTCTTTTTATTACTTTCATAAATCTCCTTTGGGAAAGCGGTTTCCATGGAAACATGGTTTTGGTCGATTAGGAACATATAATATTTGGGAGATACAGTGCGTTCAATATCTTTAGGACCCCCTCTATTTTCACGGTTCTGAGAAAACGGTAAGGGATATCAAAAGTCTGTGAGCGCCATTCGTTTTTAAATCCAAAAATACCCCGGGAGACAAATTTTGGTACTTATACCTCTTCTGGTATTAGTACACGGCCCAAAACTCACTTTTTCAACCGTTCAATATCTTTAGGACCACCTGAGATTTTTGACGGAATTTCACTTTTTGTGTCAGAATTCCAATTCAAAAGTGGGTCAATGCCCGAAATTTTCATATGTGATCCTGGTTTTCGTATTACCAAGATGTTTCTGAACTTCTCCGAGAATTTTCACATTTTTCTGCTGCTCGTGACCTAATTTTCAACTCGATGAGCAAAATTGACCTAAATCATCATTCAAAAGCTGGAATCAACTACAAAAAATCAGTTAAACAAAAGAAATCAATTGGATTTCTCATGGATAGTATTTAGAATCGCTTTGGTCAACTCATTTGGTATGCTGGAAACTAGATCGTTCGGTCCGGTTTCAGCTAATGTTCTTCTTCCTTTTTGGAGGGAATTTTGGGATCCCTGATGAGGTAGAACGACGCTGTGGTAAACGCGACAGGCATCATGATCCGAAGCTGTATCAATAGAATTCAGATCAGAATCCATGCCTGCCATGGCTATTTCTTGATTGTTCCGGCTGTCGCAAACAGAGTTGAATCATACCACTGCTGAACAGAACTAGTGCGCGCCTTGTCGATGGATCTGTTTGGTCTCTGGGATATCATAGATGGTCCTGCAGTTTATCACGACTTTGCAGACATCTTTTTATCCACCGGAACTTCGTGAATTTGCAGTTTAGCTTATCCGCAGCCGAAGATCCATACACCTCCAGACAACGGTGCGGCTTATAACAGAAACTCAACACTGGGATGAATGACAGCAGGAAGAATCAAGAAATAGCCATGGGAGGCATGGATTCTGGTCTGAATTCTATGGATACAGCTTCGGATCATGATGCCTGTCGCGTTTAACACAGCGTCAGGCTGTTCTACCTCATCAGGGATCCCAAAATTCCCTCCAAAAAGGAAGAAGAACATTAACTGAAACCGAACCGACCGATCTAGTTTCCAGGAATTCAGACACAAAAAGTGAAATTCCGTCAAAAGTCTCAGGTGGTCCTAAAGATATTGAACGGCTGAAAAAGTGAGTTTTGGGCCGTGTACTAATACCAGAAAAGGTATAAGTACCAAAATTCGTCTCCCGGGGTATTTTTGGATTTAAAAACGAATCGCGCTTACAGATTTTTGATATCTCTTACCGTTTTCTCAGAACCGTGAAAATAGAGGGGGGGGGTCCTAAAGATATTGAACGCACTGTATTTTTCTGAGATTTTTAAATTAACACTATTGTTCTTCAATTCTTTTTCAATTCCAGAATCCGAAGTAAAATGCACTATCAAGTAGCAGACACCCCATTAACACCGATTCCCGTTCTACCTAATTCTTATGTGCTTCCAAAAATGGATCCGATGGAGGCGTTCGATGCCTCACAGTACTACACAATGCAACCAGATTCAACAGCAATCAATGCTCAACCATTTCCTCAATTTGACCAACCTCAAACATCTGCAGATTCTCAAACTTGGCCTCTGACACATTTCTGGCCGAATGGAGCACAGAACAACATGATGCCACAGTTGGGAGAACCATCCACTTCTGCGATAGGAGCATCTGTGATTCAAGAAATTCGAAAATTGAATTTGGATTCGGATCAAAAACGTCTGGAACTGGAGATGGATCAGAATAGACGGCTACTGTTAGCACAAAAAGCAGATGAAAAAGGAAGAGTTGTAAAGACAACTACCAAGCCCTATCAGAAAAGAAACAGGTGAGAAACATACTTATTTTTGGCACGATAACGATTTCGGTTTCCAGAAAAACAGAGCATCCGGTATGGGCATTTTTCAAAAGAACGGGAGATGGAAATGCAGAATGCATCATCTGTCAAGGTGTTGGTAAGTATTGAAATAGGCTAGAATCCACTTTCCAATCCCCCTAATTTCCAGTCAAATCTCCATGCTCGTCGAATTTCATGCGCCATTTGATGCGTCATCATTCAACTGAATACAACGATGTTTATTTGAAATGGATCGAAAAACGGAATGTTACACATCCAGGAATCCATTGTACTTCTGTTCCTCCACCGATATCCTTCCCCAACAAGGATAATGTGAGAACAGAACCAATTTTTACTGTGAAATAATGTTTTTGGATTTATAATAGTCTTCTTGTGTTAAAATCTTCCACCCTGAAAGCAATGTGTCACCGTTGATGTTAAGACATTTACAAATCTTTTCTTGTTGTAACGGGTCTTTCTTTGAAGTCTATTTTCTGTGTTATCATTTCAAATTCATTTATCGGGTTATCATTTTACATAAATGTACAATACATTACCAGAAAGTTCATATGAGAGATCAATGAGGTTGCAGAAAATATCACAAGAAACATTCACAAAAAATAATAAGAAAAAGGGATTACAGTAACCAAGAGTATCTTCTCGAACGACATCTTTTTTGATATAAAATCCAGAACACTGAAAATGTGAGCGCAAAAAGATACAGAAAAAGTTGAGGGAATCGAGAAGGTAACCACATTACAGAATACTGCACTTGAGTGCTCCGATATGCATCGTCTATTCGACAAATCGATACCGCTCCGTACCCCATTGAATATACGCCCATTCTGAAATTCCTTTTGTTCTTCTTGTTTCTTTTTTTACTATTAATCCGCAATTTACGTTTTTATGCCGAACTTTTATCAAAATTTAGGTTGAGAGTACGATGAAAACTCCAATTCGAGTTGCCGCGCAAGTGATTTCTAGTTCGTTGTGAGACCTGTGCAAGTGGTCTCGTGTTGCGCCTTTAAATTTTACCGTACCTCCTCCTTTTCCTTTTTGTCCACTTTTTAGAATATTCTTCATACTTGTAAAATTCCGAGCCGGGCCGGGCCTGAGGAAATTTTCAAGGCCCGGTGTCAAAAATTCTGTATTTTTGAGACAAATTTTGAGCTCTCAATATAATTTTTTCCATTTTTTTTCGTATTTCGGATTGTTTGTCTGTCTGATCAAAAAAGATCGAAAAAAATCACATAAGGATCCCCCCCCCCCCTTTATGTGTTTTTTGAAAATTTCGAAATTAGTGAAATGACAGGCCCGCCGGGCCGGGCCCCGAAATTCCGGAAAAAGCCCGGCCCGGCCCGGCCCGACCCGTTACAAGTATGATATTCTTCATTTTTTTTTTTCACCAATTTTATGTATTTTTCTTCAATTTTCGCATTTTACTGGCTAGTATCTAACTATAAGTTTGAGCCTAATTTTAAATTGTGATTCAATCGCATTTAGTCAAATATTATTTACCGGTACGAGCACGTAGGCGTTTGTAGCTCGACGATCGGTTCGGTCTGTCCGATTTTGCTGATGTATGTCGGTGAACCATCGTATATTCGAGAAAATAGAACTGCTTGTGGGGGATTTCGTTGATATTCGTATATTCCTGTAGTGTGGTCGTGAGCAGACAGTATCAAGTCCATGCCCATACCCTGGAATATTATGAACATTTTCAAAAGCGATTAAAATAATTCTTACCACATCAGTATGCTTATAGCCTTCGATGAAATAAGGCACATGAGTAAGCATCACTTTTGCAATTGGAACTTGAGCTTTTGTGATTTCTTTCAGGTTCCGATTTTCAAACAAATATGTTTCGCTGAAAGAGTATCGGTTCTTCAAATCGGTGACGTTATTCCGGAAGTAGTTATAGAATTGATTTCTTCTTGATTCCGAAATTATCTCCGATTCACCACCAATATCGTTATCACCAGCTATGTAGATCGTATTCTGGAATCAGCTATATTTCAACCGCACATAACGAGTCGACTTTAGTACATCGCCATTATCTATAGTGTAGATTCCAATAAATCTTTCATACGTTTCATGCCAATCATCGTCACTTGAGTCAAAGCCTTCGTCGAATAAATCGCCAAGGAAAATTACTGCATTTGGTCGAAACCTCCATTTTGCATAACTATACCCCGTTGAAAGATATCTTAATATTTTATTATTAGTTATCGAGTTTCCATAATTTGAGAATCACCTATCACTGTCCCATCTAGCAATCGATCCGAATTTTTCATTCTTATAGCCTATTAACTGAGGATCTGCTACAATGAGAATCCGGTCGCATCTTCCTTTCTCTTCGTGCTCAACCCATTGGGTTGATAGCCACCAATACGACCAGCTTTCGTTCCACAAAACGACGAACCCCAGAAGCAAAGCTGCAATGCAATTCAGTTCTCCGATTCATATCTTCTCTCAACCCTACCTGGGATTCCATAAATATACCCTCTTCGAGACGGAGAAGATCTCATTGTGCACCGATGTCAAAGCACATCTGAAGTAATCGTAGTTGGACTAGCAATATGAGCCAAATGAACACAACGAAGAATCGATACTACAAAGGGGAGAGTGGTATACGCAGACATCCGCGCCTTAGTAATGCTACCCACCAATATTTACATATCACTGTGAGCTGAGGGTGGCTCCAAAATATTGGCGAACATTTTCAAATGTTGATCTATTTCAAAATTAACCGCAATGCAGTTAGAAAGTCGAAAATTCATACTTTTAAGGATGTTTATATCTGAAAATCGTGATCTTAAGAATTCTTGGTCTCAAGGTTTCTGTTCAAAATTTTTCGGTGATAATCAATAATAATAATATATTTATTTATTTGCAATTCATGGGGGGAAATCGATAGATAATTTGGCAAGAAATGGGAACTGTACAAATAAAAGAAGTAAAATGACCAAACGGACCGACTAGAGTCCTGTAGGTCAAGTGGGAGGGATCAGAATATCATAAGGAATCGCTCCTACTCGCTTAGCAAACGCCACCGGACGGAGCTTAGAATTTATCACCTTACATACACGGTTCCACATAGACAAGTTTCTGTGAAGGGAGCAGTCAAAGTATTGACCGTTGATTTTGAACAAATACGGGGCTCTGTTAGAATGGCTGGGAAGAATGTAGGACGACATAGAGGGAAAATGGTATGAGTTTATAACAATTTTGTGATAGGTACGAAGAACTAGAAGGGTGCGGCGATGAATCAAGGCATAATTGATCGATGTCGGCTCTATTCTTTTTGTTTCGCAATCTTCACTTGAATTCCAGCTGATTAATTGATCATCTCATTCTCTCTACCAGACTCCAGTAGAACGTATATTATTGGTTGGCTCAAAAAAGAGGCAATTTGTCAAGTGCACATGGCTTCCTACTACAAGACGGCCCGAATAAAACGAAATTGGAAAAAAAGTTTGTCTCTGGGAGTATACTTCTTCAGACTAATGTGCTCTGTCCCGCTTCCACTTCCAAAAGCCGCTTGAGGCGGGCGATGCAGACACGTTTCTAGTTTCTTAATTTAGAATCGGAGAGAAGGAGGAAGACTTTTCAAAGCCTTTGTTCTTTAAAAATTCGCAATAACTTTGCATCTTTGACATGGCTAGTCATAGGCGGAAAGAATAAATGTATCTACTGGAAAATCAAATCGCTAGAGTTGAAATTTGGTTCCGATCCAATGCCTATAGGATCTATTCATGCAAGGAATGCAGTTCCACTGGGAATGTAAAAGATTGGCCTACATCATACGACTGACATTCTACAGATTCCTGAACTGCATTTCGTAAGCATTCCTGATGTCACATTGAATTCTCAACACACCTGCGGAAATAGTTTCTTCAAAACGACCGTCCCCTTTGATCTAAACACCGCGTACCATGAAATAACTCAATTTAAAAAAGTCATTATGACTACCCATTTTCGTTATCACCGGGCAGTAGAAATGGGGATGTGTTAGTACAAAAAGAGAGTCATGGACAGTTTTTTTCCCCTTCTTCTTCCTCTGTCCTTGCAAATCACTATTGTTGTCTCACACGCTCTCTTGTCTCGTCTCTCACAGTCGTCGCAAAACCGTCAAAAGCGTAGCGGCTATCGCGTCGCGGTCGTTGATGCCTTTGCCTCCTGGGTCCACATTCTCTCTCATTGCCCTGGCAAAGCAGTAGCTTCAGTAGCAGCAGCACTGCGGGGACCTCACTCCTTTATCTTTTACTCTTACTTTGCGTATGTGTGTGAGAGAGGGACATTGAAAGGAGGAAAAAAAGAGAAAGAGAGTGAAAGAGTCTGGTCTCTGTGCTACTGCACTCCAAAGCTTCGGATTTCTTTTCCTATGAACTTCATTTCTCTCCCTCATCACCAGAAAATAATTCTCCAGCTACGTGCACTTGAATTTGTTTCCCCTTTCTAGACTCCTTAAGCTCATCTTGAGTCGCCTCTATCTCAGTAGTTTTCGCTTAGCGCGCCTGCTCCCAACTATAGACCAAGTGAGACTTGGAAACGATATAGCAGCAAGTCCTGAATGGTGTGATAGGATTAAAGTAGCGTGGTAGAAAAAGGGTGGAAGAAAGAGCAGATTTTCTTTTCCTTCTTCATTTTCTTTCCGGTCTCACTAATCCTAACGTCTTCAGTATCGTTGCTTCTCCCCCCCCCCTCCCCTAAATTTCTCAATTGAAAAAAATAAGTTGGAAAAAATATCTCGCAAATTATAATTGTATATCGATCTTTTTTGAAGTCTTAATATATATATTTTTGCATAAAATGTCTGGTTCGGTTCCTGTATACCTATGGTTTAGCTGCTGAGAATGTTTTAGAAAAGTTTAGCCTTCCACTCTGCCTGTTACGAAATCATTATGTACATTTTCGTTGTCGAAAATTGGAATGAAGACATTTCCAAGTTAAAAGTTGTTCTCTTGTTCTTATCCTCTGTGAAATGTCTTCTTCTCTATCTGCGTCTTCGTAACTTTAATGACGAGAGATCGGAGAGTTTTGTGTTGAAATGTGAAAAGAAAAAGAGAAAAAGGCGCACTTGACACTGAGGCAGTCGAAAAGAGAAGACCGACGAAAGAAGACAGTTCGAGCCATTTGTCAGCAACAATAAGTGGTCGGTCGCACCACCGTCCGCCGTCTCTCAACGTTTGCATTGTCACCGCGCTTTTCTCACTTTTCGAATCAATTCTTTGGAGGTAGTGCATTTTCTCATCTATTTTTCTGCTTCATGAAAAATAGTTCCTTTTCAACTCAACTCAAAAATCTACTTTCTACCGTTTCGAAGAATTTTTGGACTTAATTTTGATTGAAAAAAATCAGTTATTTTCCTCTAACAGTATTTAAGTCGTGTGAATAATTCTTAAGCCGCCAAGCTGTTTCTTTCCCAGTTTTTGAGATGATGTTCCTCGCGAGACAATACATAATTTTCACTTTCTTGATTATGCCTGAAGTATTTATATCGTTCTCATTTTTCTTCACATTAACAGATTTATTCCCCGTCCCTTTTTGTTCAAAGTTTCTTATTACAGAAAGGGTAATGACGGAGTACAAGCTTGTGGTGGTTGGAGATGGAGGAGTGGGAAAGTCTGCTCTCACTATCCAACTCATTCAAAACCACTTCGTCGAGGAATACGACCCAACTATAGAGGACAGCTATCGAAAGCAGGTATGTGAGCACTTTGTGACAACTGAGAAGCACATCCGTTTCACACATGTGGAGATGGCAAATTGAACTAAACGGTGTCATTTGTAATAGCGAAGATATGAGTTAGAAAGAATTTGTTTCTCGAAATCTTGCAGAGTGATTCACAGTTTCTAAACAATGTAGTCTAGACGTTCTAATAAAGGGCCCGTTTTAAAATTACATAGTACATCTGATGACCAAATGTCCAGAACTGTGTACGTTACAAAGTCGGACAAGTCACAGAAATTTTTAGAGAGTAGGTGAATTGTACAAAGTTCACGCAAGAATTGGGTAAGGAAAATGTTGAGAGCTGTTCTTTGAAGTTATGCTGATTGGTTGAACTAACAACCCTATTTTTTATAGGTAGTGATCGACGGAGAGACCTGCCTCCTCGATATATTGGATACTGCTGGTCAAGAGGAGTACTCGGCGATGCGCGATCAGTATATGCGAACTGGAGAGGGATTCCTTCTGGTCTTCGCCGTCAACGAGGCCAAATCGTTCGAAAACGTAGCCAACTACAGAGAGCAAATCAGGAGGGTGAAGGATTCAGATGATGTGAGTCTTAAAATATTCAAAAATAGACTAAATTGTAATATTCTCAGGTTCCAATGGTTCTGGTTGGAAACAAGTGCGATTTGGCTTCTCGGTCAGTGGACTTCCGAACAGTCAGCGAAACAGCCAAGGGATACGGAATGCCAAATGTGGATACTTCAGCCAAAACTCGCATGGGTGTCGATGAGGCATTCTACACACTCGTTCGAGAGATACGCAAGGTACATATTAGATTTATATTATACGAAATTTGCGAAACGAAATCTCAGTTTGGACAATTACGAATTACAGCATCGCGAGCGTCACGACAACAACAAACCACAAAAGAAAAAGAAGTGTCAAATTATGTGATTCAGCCAAACCCTTTCGCCAACGATGTTTCGTTCATGTCAACTCGCCCAGCTATCCTTTCTCCTGTGCTTCGGTACACTCTTTTATCTGTTTTATCTGGAATTTGTGATTGATTCTCTCCCGACCTATATACTCCCATACACTTTTATTTTTCTATGCATCGATTGAACTCGTTCACTCGTCTGCCACTTCAACCCGATATTATTAAATTCCGCACCCATTTTTCTTCCTTCTAATTCCGTCTTTTTCGCTTATACTATCGTTCATAGGTGTAAAAATAGTAGTAGTGTGATTCATATCTGAAAATACATCTGGAACTTTTCGAACCAAATCCAAAATCACCAAAAAAACCACACCATTTTTCACTTTCTTTGCTTATTTCCCCTCATATTATTTGTATTGCTTCCCTGATGCTTTATTCCCTCTTCCGTGCCGTTTTTGGTTTCTACCCATTTATGCTAATCTCTGGGAACCAAAATCTGTTGCATCTGCCGGTGGTTCAATTCTTTTTTTTTCTCCGTTACTATTGTTTTTATCAAACCCATTCTCTTATTAACATAACAATAGAATCTCTTAGACCCACTCCACAAGTTTTTTTCTGAAACATCTTTTCCCCATTTTTTTCAGTTTGAATGCTTTTCCTTCCGATTTATAGCTCTATCTGAATATAATATTTCTTAATTCTTCTTCACATTTTTTTTGTATTTTTTGCACCAATGATATGAAACTGAATTTTTGAATATTGATATGGAAACCTAAAAATACGTCGTTCTCCCGTGTTTTTCTTATTTGGCCAGATCAGCAAGCATTCAGTTGCTAAGAATGGTTTCAGCAGTATGACTCGTAAACGGAAGAATGTGGAATCTGATGAGAATCCGCCTGCCAAGAACGGATTCGAAGGCTATGGATACTCGGAAAGCAAAACACAAAAAACCGAAGAAGTCGGAACTTTTCCAAACAAGAATCATTTCGACAGATCCGAAGAGAGGAGCTCTGATGGATGGAGAAAAGATTATAATGGTTTCAGTGGTGGACGTGGTAGAAGAGATGGAGGATTCAGAAGAAACGACAGAGGTGGTGGTAGCAGAGGAAGAGGAGGGAAGAGAGGATTTGATGCGAGAGATTTTGAAAAGGTTCACATTAAGCATTAAATTAATTCCTCGAAATCTCTTCTATCGAGATATTTTAACGATATTTTTGCAGCAATACGGTCGAGTTGGTGGGAACGACGATTTCAATGGGGAGCAGGATGGTTCCGAAGCGAAGCAGGGAGCTTCTTCGAATGATCGTCAGCGTCCAGATGGGGATGGACGAGAGTTTCCGAAAGAAATCGTGGGATATTTGAGAAGCATCGAACAAATTAAAAAGAAGGAAGGAAAAATTGAAGACTTCATCTTGGAGAAGTGCGCAGAAGAAGTGGCCGGACAGGAAACTGTTCTTCTCGCTTGGACCGAAGCCGCTGTGGTCGTTGAGGCTGTTTTCGGAAGTTGTCCGCAAGGAGCAGCTCTTTTCCTCTCATCAGTGTCCCGTCTCAAACACAAAACACTCGCTGATTTGATGTTTGGAGGAGCCAGCGCTAGAACCATTGAAAATCTCATTTATGCAATGTGTCCAATCGCCGATTCAGAACACGTCGAGCTGCTTCAGAAACTATCTGAAATTCTCATTGACAACTGGGCAGATGCTGTAATTGCTCAGCCGTCGAGTTTCTTGATCAGAGCGATTGTTTGGGTATGCTGTGGACTGTCAGCCAAACCGAAAACCGGAGAAGAGAAAAAGAGGATTTACAAAGGAAACGAGATGAAGACACGTTTAAAGAAAGTATACGACAATTTTGCACTTCTGGCATTTGACGAAAATCTAAATCAAAGTGCATTGAATTCGCCAAACTTTATAACATTGTTCCAAGATTTCATCGAAGCTGATGGTATGTGGAATGACAAACGAGGAGATGAATACGTGAAGAAGAAGCTTGAAAAGGACGACATCGAGGGAATTTCAAATGCTTGGTATTCTCCGAATGGTTCCCGAATTTGGGAGAAACTGATGGAAACGTGCTCGGAAGATTCTCGCAGTTTGTTGTGGCTCGAGTTTTGCAGTAAAAATGTTTCTGAATTGACGGATAACAAGTTTTCCAACTTTCCACTTCAAAAAATCATCAACAGCTCAACTTCTTTGGAAATGGTCACTGAAATTGTTGAATCAATGTCCACAAAGTTGTCATATTTGATCGATCATCAACATTCTGGTGTTTTTCTCGCATTCATTCGATGCGCTGGTAGACATCCATCTTCTGAAAAGTCAATTCTTCAGCAGTTGCGAAAGCACTTCCGGTCTGCTTCCGAAGCAAAGAAAGGACAATTCCTATTGAATGTTCTAACGCTCAATAAGTACGATGGATCGCACTTCGATGCTCAAATGTTCACACCGAAGGTAATTCTTGAATTTCAAAAGTTTTCGAGTAAAATGCTTTATTCCAGGGTACTATGCTTGTTTCCGAACTCGTCAACTACTCGAAAACTAAAACATTGTGTGCTGGCTTCGAGCAACTCACTGAGCGACAGATACAAGAAATGTGCTGTAACAAGAATACGTCACGTTTGATCCAAGCCGTTCTGAACAGCAAAACTATGTCAGAAGAAGTGAAGGAAAAGATTATCGGTGCATTTGATGTAGGGTTTTGTGCGTTTTGAATTTCAGATTTAAAAACTTTCAAGTTTACAGCAAAACTCTTGGGAAACACTCATCACTGACACGTATGGAAGTCGAGTTTTCGAGAAAATTTGGAGTTTCGTAGATGTAAAACGAAAACAAGAAATTATGAAAGTTCTTGTTGAAATTCATGTAAGTAAATGACTCTAAAAGTTGTTGTGAGATATCTCGAATTCCAGAATACCTCGAAATTCTGGAAGTTCGCAATGCTACGCTGTGATCTGTATTTGTTCCGCAAGAGCCGAAAAGAATGGGTCGAGAAAATGAAGAAGGCCAACTCCTGATGAGCAAAATTGCAATTTTTGTTTCTTTTTCCACTTTTTTGTTGTTTTGGTTGTTCGTTAATTATCTGTTATATTGTTGTTAATTACACATGGCCTGTACTCTTAGAAATCGTTATGATTATCCTTTCAGATTATTCCTTGGAGTAGAATGTCTTATGTGTAAATTCTCTTTTTTTTTAACTTTTGAATGAATTTTTCATTTTTATCAGTGTTTTGACTGACATTTATACAGTGATAAACTGACTAATCTCGTTCGATGGGTTGATTATCCTATGGAAACTCCGCCCCTTTTCACCAGTTTCAAGCACAAAACTTGTATTTAACAGGTGGCACTGGGAGTACACAGTCAGGCCCTGATACTGAAAATTTGACGAAATATCAGTGGGTGAAAAAAAACAAGGCTCCCCGCTTAAAGGAGGCGAGACAGCAAAAAATTCGGGGGACGAAATCGCGCCGCGCTTATGTAGACCATCGGTCGTCAGGCGCCTTCGCGCTCCCGTAGCTCAGCCGGTAGCGGCGGGGTACCGAGCTCGAATTAGTAATCATGTCATAGCT